CTTTATGTGTTTTTTAAAAGTAAAAGTTGAATCCAAAACAAGACCTAAATATTTAAATTCTTTCACTACTTTTATTTGACTCTGATTTGCATAGATGCATGGCGAAGAGAACCTCAGTCGGTTAGTTTTACTAAAATACATTGCTACTGTTTTATTTACATTCAGTGTGAGCGAGGCAGAAGTAAGCCAACCTAAGATTTTTGCCATAACGTCGGTTAAGCTTTTAGCAACAATGGTTGCATCACTTCCATGCATGTAAACTACAATATCGTCCGCGTACATTACCATGTCCACCTCACCACACACTGAAGGAAGATCATTTATATAAAGCGCAAACAGCAATGGCCCAAGAACAGAGCCTTGTGGGACACCCATGTCACTAGCCTTAGTTGTAGATAGCTTACTATTGACTCTTACGCATTGGACACGGTCACTGAGATATGATTCTACCCACTGCAACGCACTTAGAGACAAATTATAATTACTCAGTTTATCCAGTAGCACAGAGTGGTTGACCGTGTCAAACGCCTTGCTTAGATCCAAAAACACAGCTCCCACAACCCCGCCCTTCTCCAACTTTGCCTTGACATCTTCAATAAAGTAACAACATGCAGTTTCGGTGGAATGATGTTTTCTATATCCAAATTGCATAGGATATAGTATATTGTTTTTATGTAAATGTTCTTTTATCTGATCCGCAATTACTTTCTCAGCAATCTTTGAGACAACTGGAAGTATACTAATCGGTCTGTAATTGCTGACCTCATGTTTGTCCCCCGATTTTAAGACTGGAGTGATTACCGCAGTCTTAAAAGCAGGGGGGAAGAAACTTTCTTCTATTGTTTTATTTATCAGGTATGTGATAGGAGTTATAAGAGTTTCTTTATGTTTTTTAAGAAGAGCATTGTCCATTCCCCAAATATCTTTGCTTTTAGAATTTGTCAGTGTTTGCAAAAATTTTTTTATTTCGAATTCAGTTGCCAGTTTAAATTTTAACATATTTTGTTCATCTGAGATACAATTAGATCTCTTAAGTAAGTCAAATGCTCTTACATAGTTATTAGAATCTTTATTTTGTATTCCTAATTGTTTAACTGATTCTATGAAGTAATCATTAAAATGATTCGCCACTATTTTGGCATCCGTCTCCAAATATCCTTTATTATAGATTTCTAATTTATGACCTTTGCAACTCTTCCTACCAGTTACTTTATCAATGGTTTGCCAGAGTCTTTTAGTATTTCCTTTTGCTTGTTCAATTAAGTTCATAAAAAAATTTGCTTTAGTTTTTCGTAACAATGTCACTTTATTTCTAAGCTCCTTGTACAAAAGCGAGTCTGTCAAAAGGCCTGTTTTCAAGGACTTTTTAAGTGCTGCATCTCTTTGTTTCATTAAATTCCACACTGTCTCATTCATCCAAGGGATAGATGGTTTACTTTTGATCTTCCGAGATGGTTCTTATACGAATATTTCGATACGAGATCACTAAAGGTTGTCATAAAATCATTACTTGCTGATTGGCAATTTTTGCCTCTAGTTATCTGATTCCATTGAATTTGTTCTATTTCATTATAAAACAATTCCAAGTCTCTTTTTGAGATATATGCAGCCCCTGATTTGATGTCAATTCTGTTAGAAGTTTTATATCTTGTCTTTGATAGCCTCCTAACTATCAAAGTGAGATTGTGGTCAGAAAGACCAGTTATCAGGTTATAGGACTTTGCAATTCGTTCTTCTCTATTTGTAAATATAAGATCAATCAATGTTTTGGATGATTTAGTTATACGAGTTGCATTGTTTATCATTTGGGCCATGTGAAACTTAGTTGTTATTAGTTTTAATTTTTTCCTACAGCTTTTATCTAACCAATTGATATTAAAATCCCCCAATAAAATAATTTCCTTGTTGTTAAATTTTTTTAGTATCTCAGTGAGATGGGTAAAGAAAATGTCCTTTGCTGTTGGAGGTCTATACAACACAATAACCACAAATGACATTTCTGGTGAGAGTTTGATGGTTACACCCACACATTCCAAAAAATCACTGAGGTTTTCAATTAATGTACAGTTGAACTTATCTTTCACATATATCATTACCCCACCACCATCATTTTGTTTTTATCTGTGATTTAATAAAAAATAACAAGATCAGATCACATTTGATGAATGGTTGGTTGTTGTTTTTTTCGATTTAGTTTAGCGATGTGGGGATGACACAATCTGAAACACATAGCAAAAACGCATAGACCAGATTCGAACCGGAAGTTGGCAACTGGAGTCGTTGTCATGGCAGCATGCATTGTTTAGAGCAGAATAAGGTGGATATTCCCAAATCGTCGAACTGCACCGGCTTGTATTTGAGACAGATGTCTAAGAGACCGGCCTTTATAATTTATTGCTGATATGATTTCGTTGAGTCTCTAATCTCTAAAAATCTGCAAATGCTCCACGTGAAACTGTGGTCTTCCAACCTTTTACTATCGATTCAATTGATTTGATCACTATGCACGAGGGAGAGTGAGCAAGAGTTGTTTGAAGACAACGCGGCCGGGTATAGCCTAAGTCTATTTGTCTGAAAGAGGTATTTTTAGAGATTTTTAGGTAAGAGTGTTTGCTCATCATCTGCAATACGTCTATAGGACGTTTCCTGTCAGATGTCAAGCACGTTTAGAAGATGTCTCTAAGATGTAATGATTTAGAATGCATGTTAAACTGACATAAACGTCTATTTGACATCTGACAAGAAACGTCCTATAGACGTATTGCAGATGAGCAAACACTCCTAAAAATACATCTTCCAGATGTAAACATCACATCAAATAGGCCTAGACTTGCTGGTCTCTCTCTCTCTCTCTCTCTCTCTTTTTCTCTCTCTCTCTCTTTTTCTCTCTCTCTCTCTCTCTTTTTCTCTCTCTCTCTCTCTCTCTCTCTCTCTCTCTCTCTCTCTCTCTCTCTCTCTCTCTCTCTCTCTCTCTCTCTCTCTCTCTCTATGTCTATGTACTGGTTTGCCAACCGTCCCTTCACGGAATTACCGTTTTTGTGAAATAAACAGCGCGTCCCATTTTGAATTTTCGAACGCATCACCCCATGCAAATCATGCCAGCCGCATTGTGTGATGTGAAGACTCGTCCATTCAGTTATCCCTAACATATAAAGAAGAGTTTTTTTTAAAATATAAGTAAAAGAATAAAATATAAAATAATAATATAAAATGTTTTCTGTTGCAAGCTCACATACTTGATCTCATGTTTTCTTGTGGTTTATTGTTGAGCTGTCAAATTGTAGTGTTAAAATAATCATTTTCATGCCCTTGACACATTTTTTAAAATTTAATTTAGTTATTTATTTATCTCGTGTATGGGTGTCCCTTATTTTGCCTCACTGAAGGTGGCAACCCTAGTATGCACTAGCATTTAATGGTTGGTTGGGTTGTTTAATGTCATGTTGTTATATATAAATATGGGTGCTGAAAGTTTGGCAACAGGTTGACGTCTCCTGACCAGGCACTAAGCTCATAAGGATCCAGTCCTTTGATTCCCTTTATTTTCTCCTCATAGTCATATCTCGTCTTTGCATTAGGATTTAACTTTAGACAGTATGGTCCTTCTGACAATGCTAATGATAGCTCACGTAAACCCTCCTTGAGTTCTGATGACGTTGCGCCCAGTTGGTCACATATGTCTTAGCGACCTCTATTAATAGTAGCCTATGTTGTGCATCTGAATCTGCATTGCTATATTCGGGAACTTGTTGAAAATGAAGCTTTTGATTTGTTTGTCGGTATTCCTCTGGTGTTTACTCGATCATGGTAAGACTTTTAGACATTTCTCTTCTTGCCGATGTTGTTTTGTGAACTCTAATCGCTGTAAAGGCAGTTTGACAGAAATGCTTTCACTTTTGTGTTTTGCAGTGTGTTGTTATTTGACCACTGTTAGACATGTTTGTAGGTAACATCTCTCCTTCAGCCGACGATAAAAGCGAAAGTATTGGCTTGTTTTGTGGTTATAGGTGATCACCATTGTTCTGTTGCAGGTCGACCTGATTTTGCGGGACAAACACGAGGGAGAGAACTTTTTTTAATAAAGAGAACTATTAGGCTATTAATTGTGATATAACTCAGGGTTCGTGTGTGGGTGATGGAAGGAGACTCGGGGTCGGCGAATGCTGGGGCTTGTGCACTTTATTTTAGAATTATTTCCCCACGGCGCGATTGTGCGCTCACACAATAAACTCAAACACTTGAACAACATAAATCAGATCAAACAGTAGGCTACTCTTCCCGCTGGAGACAGCAGATTCGGCATCACTAAGAGCATATAAGTGTTTGTCACTGGTGAGTTTCCTTTAATCATTCAGTGCATTTTCACTTGACTATTTTTATAATACAGCCTGAAATAGTGCAACTTAAATCCTCCCAGTAAATGTTTTGATTTTTGGATAATCATGACGTTATGCACATCACAGACTGACAATTTTCACATTGAGTTTTGTCACATTACGAATTTTAAAATTTTGAATTGTTTTGTTAATGATAAAGAAAAATGCTCAATATTAGTCAGTTTTCATGTGAATCCGCTGATTTTGCTGCTGTTGCTCAAACACACACCATTTAAAGAATGAATCAAGATCATACAACTTTATACTGAAAGCATAATGGTGTAAATAGGCTATGTCAACATTGATTACAGAGAGTTGATTATCAGTCGATCTTTAGTAATAATGTGTGTGTGTGTGTGTCTTCAGCTGTTGCAGGTTCAGGTGAAAACCTTTTAGCTGTTGCTGGTGTTATTCTGTCTGTGGCTGCTGCGGTTGCTGCGGTTGCTGTGACTGTTAAGATGTACTGTTGCTGTTGCGAATGCTGATCAAAATGATCAGGCAAGTATTACATACAGCAGATTGTAGAAAATATAAATAAGATATTTAATGTGCAAAATAATCTTTAAAAATGTTTAAAACAAAAGTATTGGTTTTCTAATTGACCAAGGAGTGTGTTGTTGTTCAAACAGGAAACAGGAGACGGCGAGATGATCATGATCAGGTGAGTTACTGTGAGCTCTGAATCTCTGTCTGTAAAACACTGACTTTACTACAGATTGGCATTTGTTAGTAGTGTGTATCAGGACCCGGTTGCATGAAAACTCTTTATTGAGTGTATCCAATAGGGGAAAATTTCCCTGAGGAAAGTAATTTCTTTAACTAAGTGTTTATAATAAGCATTTCACGATAGTTTCTGCCAATAATAAGCACTTCACGATAGTTTCCTGCACTTTCTGGCAAAACACCACAATAGGGAATCAGTTGCGATAGTTTTAACATCTCCATAAACAGAACATAATCGACCACTTACTCTTGAAGATGTTTAACTCACGACTGTATGATTTAAAGGCACACATTTTCATCAGGCAAAACTGCTTCTCTTTTGAACCTCACTGCACAAATGTGTGTGTCACTCAACACAGACTTTATAGGCTGCAGGATACATTGTGTACACACACTTGTTATCAGTGACATTTTTGTTGATTTTGCTGTCAATATTTTGATGTTTGACAGCTATAAATATGCCAAATTTAAAGAATCTGCGCAAGATCCATGTCTGTTGTTGCATGTTTTGGGCTTCCGCCTTGATAATAACTACGTCATATTTTATATGAAAATTTGGATTTATACATTAATTTCTTAAATAAAATCCTGTCATCCAGCCATGTCCTCCCTTCCTCTTTCATCCTCATCATTTTGACCAAAAACATGTTTTAGGTGGACAGATTAATAGAGTACAAAGAACATCAAAATAATTCAGGATGTTGAAAAATAGTATTTTCTGTTAACCAAATGCTTTTTAATCTTTGCTTTTGCTTCACTGAAAATGAACAAGTGTGTTGTTTTATTTGTTTGCGTTGTGTTTTGATTCTCGGTATTTGTTGTGTGGGTTGTTGATGTTCTGCGTATGTGCAGGGATTGCAGCTGGAGGATCCTGATTGGTGGATCGAAGCACATCTGCTGAGGGGAATGCAAGATCAGTGTTGGCGCCCCCCCCCCCCTCAGCCCCTCCACACACTCATTACAGCTACACAGAACACAACTTATAAAAGTGATAAAATTAGTTTAATGCTTTTGTTGTGTTTACTCATCTAACATTTTATTCAATTAAATAAGCTACACAATTTTAAATAGGCCTACGAGTGACATTTTCAGTACCACACCAAAACTAACTAAAGACTTTACTACAAAGTTCAAATGTTATGAAAAAGAACAAATAAACTTAACAAAAGAGAAAAAAAGAACAAATAGTTACAAGCAGTGGCTCCCCAAAAAAATAGAACAAAGATGCAACAGATTAAATGCAGTTTTAATGTATACCTCGCGTTATCCACATACAGATATTGAAAAATCAAATGTTAAATAACAGTATTTTATTCCGGGATGATTGTTAAGGTATAAACATAGCCTAATGTATTCTGAAGGAATATTCTCATCAGTGATTAATGTTTTAAATAAATGTTTAAAGGGTTAGTTCACCCAAAAAAATAAAATGAAGTCATTAATTACTCACCCCCATGCTGTACCAACCCCGTAAGACCTTCGTTCATCTTCGTAACACAAATGAAGATATTTTTGATTCAATCTGAGAGCTGGATCACTGCTACATATAGGCTCCTAAGGGATTGAAACTTGACGGCCCAGCAAGTCAATGAAGAAAATGTTTAAATATTCCATGTGACTTCAGTGGCTCAACTATAAGTTTATCAAGCGACGACAATACTTTTTGTGCGGAAAAACAACCAAAAATAACGACTTTATTCGACTATTGTTTTTCTTCCTTCTGGGGCTGAGACGAGACTTCAAGAGATTTCCACGACGCATACGCGAGAATTGCGCAAGAAGTAGAGTATAATAACAACGCAAAAAATCATTGGTTGTTAAGTTTATTATTTTTCATATCAATATATCAATTTTAATATAAAATTTATATTTTTTCTGTTATTTATATTATATCTCAGTCATAACCCTAACAAAAACCTCTGCAGATCATTAGATTTAAATAGAAACATGATTTGATCTTTTCTAGCATTGAGATCAGCTCAGTAGTCAATGTTCAACACTCTTCATTATATCAGTGCAGGCATTAATACCTCACATGTGTAGTCAAACCTATAGACTAACATAATGGATGAATGATAACATTTTTCAGGTGTCATGAGACTGACAAAGACTGTGGCAAAGGCTACAGAGGAACAGGGTAAAGAGGTGTATTGCAGGGGTTCTGATGACTTCCAAGGATACTGCGGAGACAACTGTTTCTATGAGGCTGGAGGAAGCATCTAATGTTTCAGGCAAGCCGTTTTAACATTTAATCATTTAAACCTACTAATAGTCTCTATTTTCAAGCTAGTACTTATTTTTGAGATACTAGTATCTATTCCATAAAGTACTAGTACTTATCAAATAGCTATAGTGCTTATTCTTTAGATACTAGTGCCTTTTCTTTAGATACTAGTACTTATTCATTAGATACTAGTCCCTATTTATTAGATATAGTGTTTATTTATTAGTTACTAGTGCTTATTCATTAGATACTAGTATTATTCATTAGATACCAGTCCTTATTTATTAGATACTACTTATTCAATAGATACTAGGGCCTTTTCTTTAGATGCTTATTCTTTAGGTACTAGCACTTTTTTAAAATACTAGTGCTTATTCATTAGATACTAGTACTTTTTCATTAGATACTAGTCCTTATTTATTAGATACTTGTACTTATTCATTAGATACTAGTCCCTATTTATTATATAGTGCTTATTTATTATAGTGCTTATTCATTAGATACTAGTATTATTCATTAGATACCAGTACTTATTATTTGATACTATACATATTCATTAGATACTATTTCCTATTAAATAGATACTAGTACTTATTCAATTAGATACTAGTACTTATTTCGATAGTGACTAGTAACAAATTTAATTTTTTGCCAGTGACTTCTATGGGGATCTGTCATTCAGATATCAACTGTTCAGTTCTGACTGGTATGTATTCCAATTGTGACTAGTACCTAGATACTAGTAGTTATTCATTAGGTACTAGTACTTATTTTTTAGATACTAGTATTAGTACTTATTCATTAGATGTCGGTACCTATTATTAGATACTAGTACGTATTCAATAGATACTAGTACCTATTTATTAGATACTAGTATTTATTCCAAATGTTTTATTTTACTAGTCACAACTGCTTTTTTACTAGTCTTATGTTATGACTAGTCAGAACGGCCACTGTGAGTTCAATTAAAACTCTTACTGGTAAAATAAAAATTCTTACTAGTAGTATGTACTAGTCACAATTGGAATACATACTACTCAGAATTGAACAGTTGATATCTGAATGACAGATCCCCATAGAAGTCAATGGCAAAAAAAAAAAAAAATGTTACGAGTAACAAAAGAAAAGTTACTAGTCACTATTGAAATAAGTACTAGTATGTAATGAATAAGTACTAGTGTCTATTTAATAGGTACAGGTACTGGTATCTAATGAATAAGTACTACTATCTAATGAATAAGTACTAGTAACTAATGAATAGGCATTGGTATCTAATAAATAAGGACTAGCATCTAATGAATAAGTACTAGTATCTTTAATAATGTTCTAGTACCTAAAGAATAAACACTAGTATCTAAAGAAAAGGCACTAGTAGCTATTGAATAAGTACTAGTACTTATTGGAATAGATAGTATCTAAAAAATAAGTAGCATGAAAATAGAGACTGTAGGTTAAAATTATAAAATGTTAAAACGGCTTGCCATATACAATGTGTTCCTCATGTTTGAACTTGCCACATGTATTGTTTATCAGTAGAGAATGCTGCATTTATCAATACAGTTTTTCATCATATTGGTCAATAAAGTGATGCTAATGTTTTCAGAGTCATTATTCTAAGTAAACACATTTTACCTTATTTTAAAGGTCAATATGTTTTATATGTAATTTAATGTAAGTTACAAATATCACTTAAATATCAGTCATTACATATAAACATATTTTGAAAAATACAGGTGAGAAAGACCAATAGGGTACAATCATTTTCACCATTGCTTTACAGTATGATTTGATATCATTATTGGAAATTGCTATTAATTTACCTTTTTAATCACCGTTACAACTTGATTTATGTTGTGTTCACACACACAAAACGAAATTAAAACTATGTAATTATAAATAGTTGAGTAACAACGTATTTTTTAATACTTGTTTTTAAATGTAAACCTTTTAAGGTTTACATTTAGAGACAAATTACATGTAGGTTGGAGAGAATATTATAAATACACACAGGCTATTATACAAGATCTGTAACGCCTATCTTATAAAAACGTGAAATTTGGTTTGTGAAAGAATTTCTATTTTAAAGAAAATAGGTAACTGTAGACTGTATATTATTTTGTGAAATGTTGTCGCGATATAGACATAATGGTAAAAATCAAGAAAACGAGAAATATGAAAGGGCTTCCGGATCCGTTCCGTACGTTTTGATTGGATGGTTGGAAAATGCCTAGACGGGTTTGAAAACGCCCACTAATTGGGAAACGCCTTCTTGTTGTTCCGCAGAGACGTCTATTTGGAAAACCCCGCCATGCATCTCGCGCTGATCACCGATGATCGATTGTGCGCAGATTTTGCTCATCTCAAACAAGCCTATTCTGTCGATGTCGAACACACCTATGAAGCATGTTTTGAATTTGCCATCCAGTTTAGGATGAATCTTCTCTTCAGTTGGCTCTTATTGCTCTGGGGTTTACTAGATGGTAAGACATTTAGGCTTATTAATAATATGTCTCGTCTCTTCCGGTTAAAAACGAAAGTAACAGTTGTTTTCTCATTGTCATATGCTCATATGCGTTTATTGTTTGTATTTTGCAGTGTTATTACGCAGTCCCTAAAGGGAAAAATGTTAACAGTTTGTTTGTGGAAAAAGCAGGGGTGGAAAGTATCCTAACTAATTACTTTCGTTACAGTACTTGAGTAGATTTTTCGATTTTTTTCTACTTTCTTGAGTATAATTAAAATGTGGTACTTTTACTCTTATCCTACTTGATTGGAAAAAAATAAAGTATTCAATTTAGCTACATTTATTTTTCACCAAAAGCACAAAGTAGGCTACTATGACAAAGGTGCCGACGGAGCAACAGTCAGGGGGCAAGCTAGCTGACATTTGACAGACACTTTTCAAAACTACACTTCAGCCAATAGCAGACAGATCTGAAGCACTTCAGCCAATAACAAACAGGTCTGACTCGGGTGCAAAACCAATCAAAACTTTCAGTTTGGCTGGGGGGCGGGGCGTTCAAACCGCGCTTGACTGGCGCTCGTGTTTGAATCAGTATTATCGCTAACGTTTCAATTCAGTAAATGTTAAACTAAATGTACGAAGCAAACGTTGTGCAAAGCTGAACAAACCTCAACAACGGTGAAATAAGATCGCATGATTACTGTCAATCAGAGGTTGTAAAAGTGTAGTTCGTTACAATAGCAACAATGTATCGGTAGAACGGAGAAAAAAAAGAGAGTTTAATTAATGTTAACCCATAGGCATACCCCACTTAATTCTTTTTTTAAATTTTTATTTATTTATTCATTTATTTTTTTACTAGCACTTTTTCTAGGCTACTGTTGTAAATCTCTCTTTTTATGGGTCCTTATAACCTTCTTTGCTTTCAGTTTTGAAATGATTCAAATGAAACATTCAAATGATCTTTTCTGGACTTTTCACAATCACAATACGTCAGTTACAAGTTTCATGTTGCTTCTTAACACAGAGTGAGAATATATTATTTTATTAAATTATATGAGACAAGCTATGTTTGTTAGCATTGCATTAAAGGGTCGAGTGTATAGTGCCCCATAACGCTATCATCTTCCCATTTTGGGTAAAAATAGAAAAATAATACTAAAATATACTTTGTAGCGTAGTTACTTGAGTAGTTTTTAAGCAAACTACTTTACTCTTACTTGAGTCATATTATTTTTCAGTAGGCCTACTTCTACTTGTACTCAAGTAAATTATTGCTTGAGTAGCAATACTTTTACTTAAGTACAATTTGTTAGTAGCCTACTCTTTCCACTACCGAGTAAATTTGCTCAAATTTCAAACACTTATGTCCCGCAGTGTTTCAGATGCTCACTTTAACAATGGAGCGTTTCATAGTGTTTGAATTTGGACTCAAATAAAAAGATATGCGTTCAGTACTTATCTCAAGGAGTTCAGTGAAGTTGGCAACAGACTTAAACTTCCCAGAACAATATTTGTGAGCTAATATTGTTAAAACAAAAATGGCACCTATTACAATCACAGTAACTTAGGCTACACAGACAGCGAGCTAACCCAATTTTCCTCAAAATGAGCTTAATAATATACATTGATGATCTCTAAGAGCGGGCGGCTGAGAGACAAGTGCAAAACCCAAAAACGTTTCTACAAAACTGTAAACACCCACATCAAATCCTATTTGACGTATCCGTGATGTACGTGCTATAAGTGACTAGTCATACTAGTCAGACTAGTCATGTCTGCACATTTCATATAACAAAAAAATAATAACTTAACTGTAACACACCATATTCAGTTTACACATCACTGCTAGTTATACAATACTTACATATGATGTTGGTACGCCAACATGATAATTGCTCACTGAAATTAAAGGCATTTCACTGTATTACCATGTGAGTTATTGAATATTTAGTCATAATAATGGGGGAGTTATTGATTTTGTTTCATAATAAATTATGCATTATGAACGTGTTGTAGTTTAACCACCAGGAGAGCAGTGATGTGTAAACTGCATTTTGTAACAGTACAGTGTCCGATTGAAGCATTGAATAATTTTCATAATTGTAAATGTGAAACGAAATTCTTTTGATGGCTTTTGCAGACGACCCCTTATTCGGACACTAAGTGACCTGCTTAGTGACCAATTATAAAGCCTGTTTTGAGGAAAATTGGGATGTAGCTTGTTGTCTATGTTACTTTTTTTTGGTCAATTGGTGTCATTAGTGTTTCGACAACATGGCATCATAGCTTGAGTAAACATTGCATAAACGGATCAAATGTAGGCCTACCTTAAATGCAAGCAACGTGAGTTGCTTTTGGATAAAAGCTGCTGAAAAATGCATAACAAATGTAAATGAAAAAACATAATTCGGTAGAAAATTTTAAAGTAGAAATATGTTATGGATGTTCACCGTTTACATTTATTAATTGAACAAACGCTTTTTAGCCAGGAGAACAATAGAAGCAGTTAAACCAACAAAAGAGCAATGCTATGTATGTGCTGTGACCAGTGAAGTCCCTGTTATTCCAGCAGTAAACCCCCTTAAATATCTGAAGATTATGCTTTTGTTTTCTTTATACACATGAACCAGCATGCACACACTGAGGACAACTGAGGGACTTAAAATATTAATACAGGTGAAAATATTGATGCTCAAGAAGAAAATACAATACATTATAATCTGAGGTTGTACATTTTTGTACATTTTATTTTGTTTAAAGATCTTTTTTATTCAGTACTGCCCTTCATAAGCTACATGTATTTGTATGTTTCCCAGAAGACAAAAGTATAATTTTCCCTCATCACTCATTTCAAAAGAGCTCTTGTTTCTTTCTTTCGTCAATGAATGGTTCCGGTTTTTGTAATAGCAATAGTACATTTTTGAAAAACATTTCAGTCATCAGTCATCCTCATTGTGAAAATCTGGATCTCAAAATTATACAGTCACTACTAGAATGATTTTAAATATGCAAGAGATGCTGTAAAATTAATCTATCATCAATCACCCGGGTAACGATACGTCAGGGCTATTTAAACCTTTGAACTGGTTCTGTTATTTCTACTTGTGGACTAAAAGTAAATTATTTTGTTTGGCATATAATGAACTGTTAATTTCTTTTTCAGATTTTCTCTGTGTTGTTTCAAATGGAGTGTCAGTGTCAGTGATGGAGGGAGATTCAGTCACTCTAAACACTGGGGTTGAAATAAAACATGAGGATATAAAATGGTATTTTAATGACATTTGCATTGCTCAGAAGAACAGTGGAGATCAGAATAAGAGTAAGATCTGTACGGATGATCAGTATGAAGATACTGATGAGAGATTCAGAGACAGACTGAAGCTGGATCATCAGACTGGATCTCTGACTATCACACACACCACAAACACAGACTCTGGAGTTTATAAACTACTGATCATCAGCAGCAGCGACAATGAAAAAACCTTCATTGTTACTGTTCATGGTGAGTCATAGTTTATAAACAAGTCTTGTACAATTAAAGGTAAGGTTGTACATTTTTTCCTTAAACACTTTTTGTTATTCTGGTTGAAACTCTTCATATCCTGATATCAGTCAATAATAGCAGTGGTCTAAATATTAAAACATGTACATATATCACCTTGACGTAACCGTAATGATGATAACGTGCAACATTCTACCCTGAGATTTATGTGTTTCTAACACCATCAACACAGAAATTAATCTGCAGCAGTCAGGTCATCTATTAAATATTCATTATGGCAAATATTTATTATGAATTTCAGTTTTATAGTACTTGGTTGTGTAAATCCACAGATGGGGGACAAAATATGAATCAGGATGTGTTGTATGATTAAATTAGTCAATAAGATGTATATTTTTGTCTCATAAGTGAATGTGTGAATCAATTATGTTTTTCTGCTGTTCCAGACATATTTCTCTACCCACAAATTTTTTTTTTTTTTTTTTTTTTTTTACTTACTTTTTTTTTGGCTTATACTTAAATTTTTTGTGGGTAACTTTTGTCCTGACCGTAGAAAATGAGACAGATAATCTGTGAAAAAGCTCCTTTGGCTCCTCCCAGTGGTCCTATTGCCATTAGTAGAAATACACCGCTCCCAGTCAGAAACAACCAATCAGAGCCAGGAGGAGTGGCTTAGCAGTGTGTACATGCTGATCACACCCTCTCTTGCATAGCGTGTACCGTCGTTCAAACTCAAGATTGTCGGTGTGCCGTGCTGATAATGGCGGAGAAACACCCTAAACTGCCAATTTTTCGGTTGAAAGGGTTAAAAGGAAAAAGACCGATAACAATAAACGAGCGAAAACAAAAGAATTAGACAGAGCCCATTAACTCAGTGTCAAAACTCTAGCTGTGTTACATGTAGATAAAATGTCACGCACTGTGCAAAGCAACAATTGAAACCTGCTTATTCGCTGGCTTGTCATGTTGCTTAAATAATGGACTAGCAAATCTTATAACATTAGGCCTACATATCGCTAGAATAATTACTTACTCTTACGTTAGTTACCGTTATATTATCTTACTAGCTATTTATAAATTATAGAAAGGGTGCAGCGTTATAACGAGGAGCTGTGGGAGGAGGAGCTGTGGGGGAGGGGCTGTGGTGGGAGGAGCTGTGGGGGAGGAGCTGTGGGGGAGGAGCTGTGGGGGGAGGAGCTGTGGGGAGGAGCTGTGGGGGAGGAGCTGTGGGGGAGGAGCTGTGGGGGAGGAGCTGTGGTGCCGCAGAGAGCAATGGGGTGGGACCTGTAAGTTGTGCTTGTTCAAATTTTCAGGCTAAGTCAACGTTTTCTCAAAACTCTCCACTGTTGATTTCTTCTTCAGGTGTTGATACAGACGGAGTGTCAGTGATGGAGGGAGATTCAGTCACTCTATACACTGGTGTTCAAACAAACCAACAAGACAGAATTAGATGGTATTATGATAACACCCGCATCGCTCAAATCAATAGAGACCAGAGTAAGATCTGTACAGATGTTCAGTGTAATAAAGATACTGAGAGATTCAGAGACAGACTGAAGCTGGATCATCAGACTGGATCTCTGACCATCATGAACATCACAAACACACACTCTGGAGAATATCAACTACAGATCAGCAGCGGAAGCAGCGACAGTGACAACACCTTCAATGTTATTTTATATGGTGAGTCATTATGTTTAAATGCAAATCTTGTACATTTAAAGCACATCATTAATGTGTTTAGGGATATTTTAATGGCATTTTGAGGTGGGTTTTTTTTTCTCTTTACCTGTAAATTAATTTAGATACAGTGTGTGTATATATATATTTAAAGTGGAATTGGTAGATTTAAACATACGTAAATTACTATGTACATATGTACTGTAATTTGCTTAATTAAAAGGTAATACTAATGATACAGCTTATATAATATGTAGCCTATCCATTATATCTGTTTAAATAATAATGTCACGATAGCATTTTAATTTGTTATTTTAAAAAGGTACTGCTAACACCGTCTGTCAGGTGTGGACATAATCGGAAGAAATCCCTATTGTCAAACTTGCCTTAGTGACTTCAGATCTAATTCAGAACAGGCAAAATGATTGTAAAGTATATACATTAGTCAACATTTGAAGTGGATCAAAAAAGATCATCAAAGTTGTCCTGAGACAAGAATGGGTATTGTTCAAAATTCATGTAGGCAATAACTTAGCTGAAAGGTTTTGATCCACATCAAATGTTGATTACTAGTATATTGCTACTTGTAGTCTTTTCATTGGATAATTTTATTCTTAAGTAATAAATAACATTATTACTAACATTATTAAGAGTAAAAATCAGTGTTGTGTACTCGAAACTCCATATTTTCTCGAGTCCATATTTTAATGGTCTTGGTCTTGTCATGGACCCGTGTGCATTTTGACTTGGAATTGACTCGTACTCGAACATATTAGGACTCGGACTTATTTCGTGAGTCCACTCGAGTCCCATTCAAAATATGTCATGATTATTGCTGTTTTTTTTTTTTTTAAATTGTTTGATTGAAACGTCCAATGATTGCTGACTTTCTTGTGCGCAACTGCGCATGACTTGAGACTGTAACACGGCACGCAAATGCAGCAAGACCCAGGTCAGACGTGATGTGGAGCCTCTAGTTCACCTATGTATCGAAAATGTCTGCCTTATCATCCCTAATTCAGTTTGCATATAAGAGCCACACAGAATCCGTGTGCAGTAATGTTATGTTAAAGAGCACTTACTGATTGTAATAATTTTAATTGTAATAAAATTACCTTTACACCACTATGTGGCCTTTTTACCATTACAGTGTACATGATTCCATGGTATATTTGGTTTACTGTTTGAGTATTGTGCCAATTTTATTGTTACCACCAAATATTTTACATACTCTTTAAATCTGGTTTGAGACCCAACCTTAGGCTATCCAACCTCTCTGGTCTCGACTCGGACTCTCTATGGTCTCGGACTCGAGTGAGCTGGTCTCGACTACAACACTGGTAAAAAATGCGCTATATTTGTGGGTTTTCTCCGCCAATGTTTACCTGTCCAATCAGCGAAAAGAGGGAGTGGCTGAGAACGATAACGATGAGGTTGTGTGCTATAGTTGTGCCAAACGTTAGCGGTTGGTTATTATGACAGATCCAGAGTGACTCTGGGCAGGTCCAATAAACTTCAACAGAGTACTCGCCTTCAAGGAAGTTAACGCTTGTCAATGGGGAGTGGCCAGGCTCTCTGTACAAATGAAATGTACGAGAGTCTGGTAGGACCAGGCTAGATAAATGCATGCTTTCAGATTGAAAGTTAAGAGAGCCTGTTCGTTATCGCTTTCATGTCCACAGTTCTCTCATGTTGTGTGTCTTTTCCCCCCAAAAAAGATCCTGCAATCATCTGTTGGTTTGTGTTTCAGGTGTTTCTGCTGCTGAACGAGATACGATTAAGAGAAAGTCAGTGAAGGAAAGAGAATCTGTCATTTTATACACTGGTGTAATAAGAAATCTGAAAGATTCAGTTAGGTGGTATTATAATGAGATTCTCATCGCTGAAATCAGTGATGAACCCAGAAAAAACTGTACAGATGATCAGTGTGACGAGAGATTCAGAGACAGACTGAAGCTGGATCATCAGACTGGATCTCTGATCATCACACACACCAGAACTGAAGACTCTGGAGAATATCAGCTACAGATCAACAACAGCAGATTCAGCATCATTAGGAGCTTCAGGGTTTCCGTCACTGGTGAGTCTAATTTAATCATTCAATGCATTTTCCCTCAAGCCATTTTAAAATACAGTATACTATATTTAAATCCAAACAGTAAATGTTTTCACTGCGGCCGGTTTATAAAGTGAGTTTGGACTCCATATGTACAGGTGTAAATGTTAGACAAATTATGCACCTTTTATTTTAGGTAAGAATATGTCTGGCTGCTGGTATCATCCAGTTATTTTCAGCTGTATAAAACGGCTTATTATGCCGCTTGATATTGAAAACTGGTGTTTCTAGCGATATTATTTTAATGTATTGACTTAAATACTGCACTTTGATATTCTTCTTGTTGATTCTCTATAGCGGGTAATAAATCAGAAGTCTCTCACAGTCACAGAAAACACATTATTTCTGCTTTGAAAAATAAGATGGATTGGTAGAGTTGATTGTCAGTTGATCTCTAGTAATAATGAAATGGTATAATATGTGTGTGTGTGTTTAGCTGTTCCAGTTTCAGGATTATCTTCATCTGCTGTAGGAGTAATATGTGCTGCTGCTGGTGTTTGTATTCTGCTTGTGGCTGCTGGGATTTACTGTCACCACAGATCAAAACAAACAGGCAAGTATTACATACAGCTAATATAAAGCTGTAAAAATATAAATCAAAGATTTTTTTGTGCATAAATATTCTTCAAAAATAAATAAAATTACGTATTTTTTTATTTTAATTGACCAAGAGTAAGAGAGTTTGTTGTTGTTTAAACAGGAAACTGGACACCGTGCCATGATCATCATCAGGTGAGATACTCAGCTCTGTCTGTCTGCAAAAACTGAATTTAAAACAGATAGAGATCTGTAAGTGGTGTTTATCTGTTCAAAGTTTTCTGACTGAAATCATGATTGATTTCATTCAGAAATCATTAGACAGAAACACCAATATTGATTGATATGTTAACTGCTTTTGAAATGGACTTTCATTAAAACCTTTGCGCCTATACATTAGAAAGGCGAAATATTTTGTTGAAATGGGTGCCACGTGACTAAAGAAAACAAGAAAAACATTCCATTCCATTCCATTTTGCTAAATCAGTAGAAAAACTTCAACACCCATAATGCACTGGGCATGTTGCTGTCCAAGGCCACTCCCACCAGTCTGTTATAGATACACTTACCGGAGTCAAATACTGTAGGAAATACTTCTACACTGTAAAAAAATATTTTCAAGATTTGTTATCACAACATATTTTCTTTTGTCAAATCAACTTTATAATAATTTATTTAGTTGAGATAACTCATTATTGTGAGTTTCTGATGATTAAATTAATCTCCTTCATTGTATTAACTCACTTTTTCCAGTTCAATCAACTTAAAATTTTAAGGCAACCCAGGTTTTAAGTTAAACCAACAATATTTTTTTACAGTGTAGTAATCACAACATTTTTCTTTTGTCAAATCAACTAAAAATAATTTATCTAGTTCAAATAACATATAATTTTGAGTTTCTGATGATTAAATTAATCTCCTTCATTATATTAACTCACTTTTTCCAGTTCAATCAACTTAAAATTTTAAGGCAACCCAGGTTACTTACTTTTTTAAGTTAAACCAACAATATTTTTTTTACAGTGTAGTAATCACAACATTTTTTCTTTTGTCAAATCAACTTTATAATAATTTATTTAGTTGAGATAACTTATTATTTTGAGTTTCTGATGATTAAATTAATCTCCTTCATTATATTAACTCACTTTTTCCAGTTCAATGAACTTTTAAGTAAATTTAAAAAAAGAACATTTTAAGGCAACCAGGTTACTTACTTTTTTAAGTTAAATCTACAATATTTTTTACAGTGTAAGTAAACTTGTAGTCAAAATAGTGTCGACTTGGAGAATGGGTAAACTTTGTTCATTTACATATACTACCGGCATTATAAAAATACAAAGCAGGTTGAAAATTGGAGAAGTGTCACTTAAAGCCTAGTTCACATTACATGAATTTAAAACGCAGGGCTGAACTGTGCTGTTCACACTACATGACTTGCTCTCAGTGAAATCAGGATTGTTCAGGTTGTTGAGCTGTTCACGCCACACAACACAACGTGATTGATCCGCAACAGGAGGTAACGCACTACACGAGTTGACAACAACAACTCTGTCACCCAATGGAAATGACGCAACAGCACGCGCGCCAATACCCAGTGAAGAAGAGAAGAAAACAACACGCGAAAATGGACGTCAGACAGAAACTAGTGCTGCACACTGTTTGCGCGATGATTTGCTCTGAAAAAAAAAAAATGCAAAAAAAATTCAATATAATATTTACCCGGTGACCTCAACCTATGTCTTGCTCTGATTGGCTGCAGCTCATGACATCACTGAGGTTGAGTCGCGCGACAGCTCTGTAAATCTAGCATGCTAGATATTTTTTCTGGGCTCGGCGACACGCTGCGAGTGTCTTTGATTTGTTGTTGGCTCTTTCATACTAACAGATTGGCAAGGGTTCATCGCCCGCTAATCCCCCGGGATTTGCACGCGATAACACCCTGACCTGTTGGCGAGCTCAACGATTTGCGAATCGGGCTTCAAATCCTGTAGTGTGAACTTGGCTTTAAGAGAGTGCTAATCTTGACTTGAAGAACAGGGTCTTTACATTCAGCAAACATCAGAGAGAAAAAACACTGTTTTGTGTTTGTGCAACTGAATCATCAATCCTGAACCTTTGCTTTACCTTCTGTGAATCTGTTTCTATCTTTCAGGAGGATGGTGTCTCTTCAACCGACTGGAGCTAACGGGACGTGCACTGGTCAGACTGACAGACAGACAGTGTGAAACCCCCTACTATCAGGAAACGTAAATCTCAGAACTAAGATAATGTTCTGAAAAGGTTCTCTCAGGGTTATTCGAATAAGCATCTGAATCTGTGTAACTGTGGACCTTTTCTTAAATCAAGGATCTTAAATCATTTGAGACACACTACTGTTTCCTAAAATACACACTCACAACTGACATCAACAAATCGTAATACCACATGTTCATGCAGAATCATTTTGTTCATCCAGAGACAGATAATTTCTGCTATTTTTTAGCAGATTTTTGCTGCTATATTTTGCACTAAAAATATACAGATAATTGATAAACCTGTTTCAAAGCAACTTTTGTTATTCAGGGACCATTTCATCAGTCCGACTCTGAATATCACAATTGAACTTCCCCATAATGTGACCGTGCTGTAATGTCCACTGGGATTTTTTTTTTATCATTAAACTATAACATTGAAACTTTAATGAGCTGGTTGCAGGGACGTGCAAAGACATTTTGAGGGGCAGGGGCTGAAGTGAAAAAAGTGCACTTCTCATAATTATGTTTTTTTCTTTTAAAAAGTTCTTTTTATCTTCCTCAAACTCACGCAATTGTTTCATTTTCAAACTAATGAGTTCTACAAAATAATGAGTTCACACAGAAACCATGGTCTCCTTATTCATCGGTTTATAGAACAGCAAAGGACACCATGCCGCAAATGTGCATGTTTTCTATGCTACTAGTTTCAATCAAGTATATATTTGATGTACCTGATGGTGACATTAGTTTCACATTTGAAGGAGTATCATCATCATCAAATAAAACCTTCAAAATCCACATTTAGATGGAGTTTGTTTTAAACCTACTATCCTCCATCTGTTTGCACCGGTTGATTTTTTCTAAATTCACCAATTTATGTTTTTTAATTTCAGGGGGAAAGACTGATGCATGTAAGTCATTAGCTTTAATAATAAAAATTTTAGGCCATAAAAAGTCATAAAAACGTCCGGATTTCCCATTGGTCATTTATTATTACATTTAGCCACGTAATTGATATGCTTATTCGTTCATTATCGCGATATAAATTTTCTCGATAAGACGATATCAATTTCGAGTCAATATCGTCAATGCTCGATATAATCGAGTTCGATAATGTTCATGTGCCAAAAGCGGAACGGAACTCATTTAAACCGCGCGCGCCTCACGGACTGTTTATCAGCTCGGCTCAAAGTCAAGTCCAAACGGCGGAGGAGCTGAACACGCAGCGCCGGATGAAGCCCAATGAAACCTCTATTGCAGGTATGATAATGAATGTTGATGTATGTGGGATGATATAGGTAGAAAGGTTTTTTTTTTTTTTTGAATCCAGACTCATCACCCAAGGTTAATTTGCCATCTAGCAGCACAGTAGGTGGCGATAATGCTCCTTAGGAGTTAATCGCGCCATTAAACAGGAAGAAGAAGAAGAAGTCCAAACAAACGGAAGCGCAGCGCGAGCTCACGAGCTGACGCGTTTACTCTTCAGAACTCCTGACCTGATATTTAGATACACTATTCAATAGATATATTTGTTTGACAGAAAAGCTATGCGCAAACAGGAATATATGTCATTTTTCAAAAGTAAAAAAAAAGCAGCCCAGAAAAAAGGGCTCTCCAGGAATGGAAAGGTCAGGTGCCCTTTTGATGTCTATGTGTGCACGTGCCTGGCTGGTTTGTGCTGTGTGGTTTAGGCTAATCTGATATAATAAAATGTAAAATTACATCTATTTATGTAATTATGTTTGAGTTATTGTTCAAAAAGGGGGGCAGCGCAATGATCAGGTGTCTTCATGTTTTCTGCTTTGGATACTAGAAAGCAATGATGCACTTGTGCAACAACATTTGTAAAAAATATTCAGCATATGCCGTCTGTGATATTGTAAAATAAATAAATAATTGATTTACAAAAAAAACAGTTAAGCATGAGGGATCAGTGTTTAATAATGAAAGGTTAACTTCAATATGGTAAGATAAAAACAAATGTTTCTGGATGCTATTAGAGAATCACTGCATTAAATTAATACAGAGCAACAACATTGCAAACAATACAATAACAATTTATGTTATGCGTGTTTGATCATCGTTTTTTGGGAATATTTTCATACACGGCATCCGTTTTTGATTTCTGCAAGAAAAAATATACTCAATCATGAACATTGCTGATACAATTAACAAAAGACCAACTGGGGTTTCACTGTTTTGAAAAACTGATGCTAACAAGGAGCAGGAAGAGGAAATGACATCAATCATGATTCAGTTATGCAGGTTTGTCAAGACAGCCTGTGCTGAGAATAACTCTTTCACACAAAAGACACTTGTTGCAGAACATCTACAAAGAAAGCAATGTTTGCTAAAGTTGCATCAGATAATGATAAACCGCAGAGACGCTGCAGCTCGAGGACAGTTAATAACTCGGTGTCCTACTTTCTGTCCAAAGACAATGGTGTAAAAGCTGATTTTCTTTGAGTTGGGCTATTTAAAAATAGCAAACCCCATTAAATATGATTTTAAACTAAATATAATTTAGGCCACAGATTACATAATGAGCAAAAAAAAAAATGTGGCCCCGCTTTATATTAAGTGGCTTTAAGTACTATGTACTTACATTGAAATTAATAATTTTATACAATGTACTTATTGTGTACATACACGTTTTTACATTGTACTTATATTTTAAAATTCCAGCATTTAATTACAGCTATAATTAATTTATGTAATTACATTTGTAATTACACAGTTGACCCTCCTATCACACCTTAACTTACCCTTAAACTGACCCATACCACCACACCTGTCCCTAACCTTACCCGTATCACACCTCAATAGCAGCAAAAGTGTTTTACAATACAACAGGACCACAATAATACATTGTACTTATTGTTCAATGTAAGTACATAGTACTTAAAGCCACTTAATATAAAGTGGGACCAAAAAGGTTTACTAATAAACAAAAAAAAATGTTTTAAGGTAATGAGTTAAAACACAAACGTCTGTTCACTGGCCGTCTGATGCTGCAAACTTCAATCATCAAACTTCAATCACACTAACTGACTGTGACGACTTCTTACCTTTTGTCGTGTTGTTGGTTTACACCAACATGTTGAATCAGTCCTGTCTTCCTCCTCGCTCTCGACTGCGTTTACAGTTATGACAGGCATGTTAGGACAGTTTTTATCATTCTAAATGAATGTATCTCTTAAAAATATAAAGATGTGCACAGATTAATTGACTGCTCTCCTGACCTGTTTTTCTACATTTCTTGCAGATGCAGAAGATCACAATTATAACAACAATTATCAGAGATCCAGCCGAGATCAACACTATCAGAAACACTGAGACTGGAGGAGGAGTGTGTGTGTCTGGAATGATGAAGAAATAAGTGAGCGCATCAGTGTGATCTACACCAGAAGACAGAGATCAGGTCAGTAAACACACACACACATATATGATGATGAGTGGTGGTGTACCTGCACATGTGTGTCTGCAGAGTGTGTTGATGTCCAGATGTGTGGTCTGGTTGCTGATGGGATTGTTCAGCACACAGCTGTAGGTGTTTTTATCCTGATATTCCACCTCCAGAGGTAGAGAGAGACTGATGCTGAGATCACACACACTGATGCTGGACAATACACTCATTCCTGCGTACCAGGACAGAGTCGCATCACACACACTCAACACTGATGATGAACACACCAATGAACAATTTGATGATGATGAACAGTTTCTACTGATGACAGGAACAGGCAGACGAGCTGAGAAACATGAGAGAATAAAGAGAGATATGGGTAAAATCTCATTTTCGCTGTAGTGTGTTGACAATACGAGTCTTTCTGTGACTCACTGTAACTATAAAATGATTAAACATTTCAATTTGTCAATATTTTAAGAAATATCCAAGTTAAGTTCGTTCAATGTATGTTTCCCATAATATTTATTGCCCCAAAAAAATATTTCCACGTGTCCACCATGAAAGCAGCGAGCCTCTGAATGCGGCCGATCTGTAATCTTTAAAATACAGTGTTTCAGTTGTGAAGGACGAGACAAATTATCTACTCACCATAGACAGAAACGCTAAATGATTTTATTGACAGTGTTGCTCCATATAATCGATAAACTCCAGTGTGTTCAGTTGTGGTGTGTGTGATGGTCAGAGATCCAGTGTGATGATTCAGCTTCAGTCTGTCTCTGAATCTCCCGTCAAGAACATCATCATATACAGTCATGCTGTCCTCCAGTACATTGATTTGAGCAATTAAAGTGTTTTCATCTCCAAACCTCCACAGAATCAGATCATCATCCATCATTTCAGTGAGATCAGAGTTTAGAGAGACTGAATCTCCCTCCGTCACTGACACTGACTCACCAAACACACCTGAGAACATGAACAGGATCAGATTATTGTTTGTTCTGATGGTTTATAAACCAAAGGTCGGTTGCACCAGCTGGACGTACACCCCGTTATAAGACTAGACTGGACGTAAAATAGTCCCATTGCACCATCCAGGAGTAGACTAAATCTTACAGGGAAAAGTATAGGTTTAAAGTTATAACTTGTTCAGAAAGGATGTCTGTGATGTTCATGGTTAATTTGTGCAGGATAAGTGAGATGGTGCGCGACTGCACACTGCCGACAGATGTAACGTAACAACATTTCCGTGGGAGACCGGGGATGGTTGTAACACTTTTTTGCTTTAGCGCCTATAACTCGCTGAAGTTTTTAGCTGGACTTCTCAAACGTTTATACAAAGGACCCACATTTGTTCACTACAAATGGAGTTTATGTCAAATACATGGTGCACTCTCAGAAAAAAAGGTACAAAAGCTGTCACTGGGGCGGTACCTTTTCAAAAAGGTACACTTTTGTACCTAAAGGGTGCATATTGGTACCTTCATGGTACATATTAAGAGTTCAGATGCAAAAGCCTCTAAATGCCATTTGAAATTTTCTTCTTTAATGATGATTTTTATCAAACTTGTATATTTAAGTTCAGTAATTTCACTTAAATAACAATTAATAGGTAATTATCATTGCCATTTAAGTGAAATTACTGAACTTAAATATACAAGTTTGATAAAAAATCATCATTAAAGAAGAAAATTTCAAATGGCATTTAGAGGCTTTTGCATCTGAACTCTTAATATTTGTACAATTATGGTACCAATATGCACCCTTTAGGTACAAAAGTGTAGCTTTTTGAAAAGGTACCGCCCCAGTGACAGCTTTTGTACCTTTTTTTCTGACAGTGTGTTCCTTTGCTAGAACAGGGTTGTAACGCATGCTGGGGCGACTTGTAACAATTAGACAAAAGAAGTAAAAAAATCGATGCCATACCATATGATATTGTTCAAAAACAGATTTATTTAAATAAAAGAAATCTCTCTATTTTTCTCTCAAAAATAGACTATGTCTGTTTGGTTTATGTGTGTGTGTGCGTGCGTGCGTGTGTGTGTGTGTGTGTGTTTAAAAATGTCAACTAGAACAAATTTACTTTACATAACCTAATAATACTAGGCTACTACAATGTACCTAATTTAAAGGGATAGTTCACTTTGAAATTCATTTTTGGTATGTTTTATCTTACCTCAAGGGCATCCAAGATGTGTCTTTGTTTCCACAGCAACAGTTTTTATATCGAGTTAAAAACGATATAAATACTGTTCATTTTCTCACACAAACCGCTCGTTTCGTGTCTTAGGCCATCAATGTGTTTTTACATTTACGAGTCATTAAATCATGTTTAATTTGGACTTCTCTGTGCATGCTCTTTGAGGTGGTGACCATATAGACCTGCATTATATGACTGACCTAAAAATATCAAAATTGAAAATACCGTGGAAACAAAGACACCTACATCTTGGATGCTCTTGAGGTAAGATAAAACATACCAAAAATGAATTTCAAAGTGAACTATCCCTTTAATAACATCTTTGTATGTACATCTTTAGGTCTGATAAAAAATAAAAAGACATTTCTGTGTGTGTTAATTAATCTACAAGACAAACGTAAACTTAACTGCTTACTCAATAAACACCACTTCAATGTACCAGATTAAAGAACATCTTTGTACATTTTTTAAGTCTAAGAAAAAATAACATGTCAATGTGTGTGCGAGTGTGTGTCTGTGTGTGTATATTCTTAATCAGTCACAGTTTTGACATGATGCTGTGACTGTGAAAACTGTAGTCGTTCTGTAAAAACATTAAAATCAAGAAAATTCTTAGTTATATTCTTAGTATGTAACGGGGATGGTTGTAACACAACTTTTTTAAAGTGTTACAACTCACCCCACACCTGTTAACTGATGTTTAGCTGTTCACATTGTGGTTTTAAATTAGCAGGGGGGAAATGCATCACATATTGCCTAAGAAAATACTAATATGTATAATGATCATCATGATCTTCCTCAAAGAGACAGATTGTAAATAATATTTCATGTCTTTATGCCCATTCACAGCAAGCGATATTTAGCATGGGAATGTTAACTGTAAAAAAAAAGAGCACTTTGATATTCGTGGCTTATGTGGCTTCCTTACTTTTAATAAGAATTCCTGACTTTAAATAAATAACCATTTACATGTTTTGTACGTCAGCATTGTAAGAATGTACAACGAGTTCAGATATAAAAACCTTTATGCATTGGAATCAGATGCTGCTCGGACTTCACTTGTTATGATGGCATGAGCATTTCAGTTCTTTATTAATAGCAAAGTTGAATTATCTACGCTGGATCTAGTTACTCATGGCCGTAGTTTTAGTGTGCAACAAAGGCGGTGAAGCTGAGCCAGCTTAGATCATGGTGCAACGGCTCCTGATGTTTGAAACTATTCATTTATTTGCTTTTTGACCAATAATAGCCTAGTTTACTTCAGTTGTTAATCCTTATTACTACAAACGTATTTTAAATATTTTTTAGAGATAGCTATTTGTGCTTTATATGTTCAGTAACAATACTTGAAATTAATATTGAACACAAAAAAAGTTTTGAAAAGCGCTTTCTGAGCCCACTGAGTTAATTCAGTATGGTAATTATTATTCTACTTTTAACATTTTAATATATTTGTAAGGCCTGTAAATCACAATTGAAAAAAAAAAAAAAAAGACAACGGCGAATGTATGGTGTACGCTGTTCTGAAATATCAAGCCATAAAAATGCTTTTATAACTTACCGGTCAGACGGCACCAGCAGAAACAGAACAAAATAAACAAGTGAAACATTTTCTTCACCCGTTCAGTGTCTGATGTAGGCCTAATAAAATTTTCTGCTGAAAACACATGTGTGAATCCTCCCACAACGAGTCTGACCCTCCTAGTTCAAACAACCTGAACATGTTAAACAGTCTCACATTGAGAAAAAAATAAAAAAGTTTTAAAGTCTAAAATATATTGAGCTGTTTTAACTGAAAGCTTGCACTGGCATATCTTAAAATATTGTTTTGTCTTGAGACACACACTAATGTTTTTTCTAAGGCATGTTTATAAAAGCTAAATGTCCTAATTAAACTAAGGTCTAATCCTGGCTTAATCTAAACCCTGTCTGTGAAACCAGGCCTACTTTTTGAACAGTGGAAAAATATTTATTTTTTTTAATTAAAATTTAATTAAAATCTCTTTTTTCTCATTTAACATTAGTAATATATATTATAATATATGTAAATATATTATGTCAATAATGTATGTAAATATTTTAAATAGACTATAGAAAAGGAGAACGTGTGAATCTCCTTGGATTAAGAACTTATAGTTCAATTGATTAATCAATTATTGCGTATATGAAAAAAACAGTTATAACCTGATGATCTCATTGTGGTCTGACTCTTGCAGCTCATCTATTGAGTCAAACTGAAACCTGCTGCGGTCGGCTCTCTTCTGATCTGTTGGTTGGACAAACATTGTTTGCACGACAGAGGTCATTTGTTTCATCTGTGTTCAGTTAGAAAGAGCTTCTTCCTGTCCTGCTGAACCTCACTGACTTCCTCTAGATAAACAGAGTAATAACGAATCAATCCATCAAAACTAAAAGCAGTGAAAGAAGAGAAACAGTTCAGCATTCTTCATTGGGCCAATTTGAATTCTTACCCATCATGCATTTATAAACTACAGATTAGCAGATATAGTATAAGGTTCCTCTTCGTTTGCTGTTTAGTGTCTGCAAGACATGTCTATGGTATAGAAGCTTGTTTTTGCCACAGAGTGAGAAATAAAAAAGGTAATGGCGACTTTGAATCTCACTATTCAGACTTTTCATATCAAAATGTATATATAAAGTCGGAATTGTAGGTTATAAAGTTAGAAATACGTGATATAAAGTTGCAATTGAGTGTTATTAATTTAGAATTATGAGATAACTTGCAATTGCGAGGAGAAATTGATACTTGGAATTCGTACTTTTTTTTCTCAGAATTGCATTATTTCTCGCAATTCTTCTGATTTTATATTAGTCTACGCAATTGGTAGATATAAAGTCAGAATTGCATGATATAAAGTCGCAATTGCGTGTTATAAAGTCAGAATTGTCTGCCTATATTTCTCCTCGCAATTGCAAGTTATCTCATAATTCGAAATTAATAACACACAATTGCGACTTTATATCACGTAATTCTAACTTTATAACCTGCAATTGCGACTTTATATACATTTTGTGATAAAAAATAGTGAGATTCAAAGTCGCCATTACCTTTTTATTTCTCACTCTGTGGCGAAAACAAGACTATTTTGAGGTAAAAAGTATTTCCCATACAATTTGACTTTATAACTCGCAATTGTGAGAAAAGATAAGTGACTCTAAAAAATCTAACACCCAGTAATGTGTAATTTCTTTGCATCTTCTTTCGAATGCAACATTCAATTTACTGGACAAAAAATTATACCCTGAGAAAAGTGGATTTTTAGCGGTATATCTCCATAGACCTCCATTCATTCTCCAGTCCGCCTGTGAGCGCCCTCATGTGGACCACGAATGGAACTGCAACAGTCCAAACACCGGCCGGAAGTGAGTGGGAGTTTTCTCATGAGTTCTGCCCATAGTACTCCCATGAGTTCTCCCCATTAGGAGAAATACCCTCAGACCTGAGAAGAGATAAATTAATGCTTATATACTTTAGTCGATTATGTGGATGTGGAAATGAAAATCATGCAAAGAGCACTATTCAGGAATGTTGGGAGTATAGTTCATTTAAAGGCAATGGTTTCGGCTGGGTAATTAAAACAAAATCAGAATATAAATTAAATAATATCTGGTTTAAATCCCCTACACCTATAAGTAATATTCCTATTTGGTTATTTCCAAAAACTGAGATAGACTTAAATATATTAGAACTAAAAAACGAATGGGAAGAGAGTGGGAAAGGCCATACGGCAAACCAGTATATAAGGAGCAAATATTATAGTTACTTAGATATGTATACAGATGGATCTAAAGATGAAGAGGATAAAGTAGGAATAGGAATATATATACCAACAATGAATGTAAGTATTGGGAAAAGATTACCAGATCAAGCTTCGGTATATACAGCAGAGATGATGGCGATTATTGTAGGACTGCAGTGGGTTGAGGAAGTAAAACCAGACAGAGTATGTTGTGTTGATTCTGCAGCAGCCCTTTATAGTATTCAAAACATGAAATCTGATAGAGAAGATTTAATGCTCGAAATTCAACAAAGCTTATTTAGACTACATGAGATTCTGTTGGGTCCCTGCCCATGTAGGTATTAAAGGGAATGAGGGAGCAGATCAAATAGCTAAAAAATCAACCAGGACGAACGATATCATAAATATACCCATTGGAAAAGGAGAAACTAAGGCGATAATCAAAAAAGAAATAATAAAGAAATGGCAGGATAGGTGGGATAAGGATAAAAGTGGAAGGAAATATTATAGATTGCAAACATCTATTAATGCCCCGGGGGGGGGGGGGGGGGGGGGGGGAATAAGTAACAGAAGAGAGGAGAGCGTCTTAACCAGGCTGAGATTTGACCATACAGGGTTAATTAAAACATTGTTTTTAATGGGCAAAACTTTATCAGATAAATGTTTGGAATGTAGATCAAAGGAAGATGTAGAACATGTACTAATGCATTGTAAGAAATATAGAGATGAGAGGATAAGGCTAAAACAAAAGATAAGTAAGGCAGGAAGAAAGTGGAACCTTAAAGGTTTATTAGGCACAACAGGAGATGGGGTAAAGGATACACAGAAAGCAGTTATACAATTTCTGAAAAACATAGGATTTATAAGAGGATATAGGTTTTTTTTTATTTATTTTTTTTTAAGTAGTACAAAGTAGTCCCAACGAATAGCCCGTGTTACATACTCTGATACAGTAGGTGGCGGTATGCACCTTTAAAGTCATGGTTGCAATCTGCCATAAAACGAAAAAGAAGAAGAAGAGTTCTCCCCATATTAGGCACTCTGCCATTATTGTTCTATAGACGCTTTCATCAGACGCATTGCCATGGTGATGAGCTGGCCCAAAGTTAACTTCCGTTCTGTTCGTTTATTAGGGTTTACTGGATAATATGGCATTGACTACAAATGCAGTGAAATTTAAGCAGGTTATTGAGCTGTGGGGTGCAACCTGACTTAGGGAGCAAACGCAATTTTTAAAAATAAAAAATGTCAAGGTTTTCTATGAGGGAGACGGCGGGATTAAAAATAGCCTATGTTTATCTGAGTGATAACCGGTACAATGTTTCCCATACATTTATTAGTGGCAGCCCACCACATTATCAGCGCTGACCGCCACATATTGATCTCCGTGTTTTTAACAATTTAAGATGGGAAAAGTTGTAATTGACTGCAGAGTTGCGTGCAGCGCATATTCGGACGCTCACTCTCTCTCTCTCTCTCTCTCTCTCTCTCGCAAACACATTGAGAGCGGACCAGTCTGTGTATTGAATGGTTAGTTAGTATCATAAACAGCGCTGCACAGATCCATCCAACACGCTGTCAATGTGGAGACCCACCTTAAAAAAGGTTAGCAAGCATGTAAGTAGCCTAGCTATGTTAACCTTATCAAACTCCGCCGTCGAGCTCGCCAGTTTTTTTAACACTGCGGTAAATCAGACACGTCGGTAGAAAAACATCTTGTCTCCAATTTTTGTTCAACGGGTCTGGTAGTGTCACATTTCAGTTTGGCCAGGTAACATTTATTTTCTTTGACTGGCAAGATACCAGCTAACTGTACTAGGTTATTTACTTGTTATGGATTGTCTCCGCAAGTCTGCCGGAAGTTAAGTTTGGGCCAGATTAATGCACATGCGCAGTACCGTTTGTTTATGTTGTCACTGCTGAAAGCGTCTAAAGGGAAACACGGCGAAGATGAGTCATTTCTTTGGTTGGCTCTTATTGCTCTGGTGTTTACTCGACCACGGTAAGACATTTAGCCTTATTATCTGTCTTCCGGTCATCTATGAAACCGAAAGTGACTTTTATATGAATAACACTATACAGAGCGCTTTATACAGAAAAAAAAACCGTTTTATTTCGCTGTCCGTCTTTTTGCTCGACCATGAAAATACATTTATTTGTTAATCTCACTTACTGCCTGCGATAAAAAAAAAATTAATTAATAATAATAAAAACTAAGTAGGCCTAGCCCTCGAAAACATGTGACGTTGCTGCTTGAAACAAAGGCCCAGATAGTTTGGTGAAGCGTAACTAACGTTAAATAAAAGGCTAAAAAAAGAAAGAAAGTCGTGTCGGAAAATATTAAAGTCCGTGTTAATGTTCAAGACGTGTGATTTGGTACACATCTTGTAGCGAGTAAATGTTGTGTTGTGCCTGAACGCGTTCAATGAACGATAGTTCATGAACATGTTTATATTTTGGGTGAACGTGAACTGAACGTACTGTACTGCCTGATGAACGTTACTGTGAACTAGTTCATGCTGGTGTCTGTGAACGCGCTCTCTCAGTTTACAATAGGGTGTCAGATTTCTATGGAACCTTCCAGGCTTGTGTGAACTGAACTTTGAACTACTTTATGTAGCCAGTGGACTTTCCCAACACTGCCTAAATGGATCAGATGTGTTTTCATGTGTCGCGAGTCGTTTTTAGACGAGAGCTGCTAAATGCATAACAAAATGTAAATAAAAACATAGTTTGGGGACAAAAATAAAACGCAGAAAACAACATAAAATAAAATAATCCAGAGATTCCTTAAAACAGACGCTTATGTTCAAAGCCAGGAGAACAATAGAAGCAGTTAAACAACACTGCATTAAGTGCTGTGACCAGTAAAGTCCCTGCAACTCCAGCAGGAACCCCCCCCATAAACATCTTAAGATTATGCTTTTGTTTCCTTTATATACATGGACCGGCATGGTCCACATTTAGGACAACTGAGGGACTTGGGTGTACATTTTTAAACATTTTATTTTGTTTAGAGATCTTTTTTATTTAGTACTGTTCTTCATAAGCTAAGCTATACTTGCATGTTTCCCAGAAGAAAAAACAAGTACTGTTTTCTTGATTAGCTACCCATTTCAAAAGGGCTCTTTATGCATTGTTTCTTTCTTTAGCATCAATGAATGGTTCCAGTGTTTGTAATAGTTGCGTATGTTCAGTCGACCACAGTCATCCATGACACGGCAGGGGTATTTAGGCTAAACCTTTGAACTGGTTCTGTTATTTCTGCTGGACTTTTATTAGACTATGTGTAAATGTTTTTTGTTTGCTTGTTTTTTTTTTTTTTTTTTTGCCGTATAATGAACTTTTAATTTCTTTTTCAGATTTTCTCTGTGTTGTTTCAAATGGAGTGTCGGTGTCAGTGATGGAGGGAGATTCAGTCACCCTAAACACTGGGGTTGAAATAAAACAACAAGAAGATATAAAATGGTATTTTAATGATATTTGCATTGCTCAGAACAGTGGAGATCAGAATAAGAGTAAGATCTGTACGGATAATCAGTGTAAAGAGAGATTCAGAGACAGACTGAAGCTGGATCATCAGACTGGATCTCTGACCATCACACACACCACAAACACAGACTCTGGAGTTTATCAACTACTGATCATCATCAGCAGCTTTAAAAAGGTCTTCATTGTATCTGTTCATGGTGAGTCTGCAAATGACTGGTACGTCACGTCGATGTCAATACAGTGGGTGAACAACGAGCTGTATTTAGAGCTTGATTAAATAAATTATTCGTTTATAATGAGAGGACGTCATAAGCTATGAAACTTGCGAGTTTTAATGGTCCAAAGACCTCTTATATACAAAAGATCAAGGCAAATTTGTTTCCTCATGTCATGACCTCTTTAAATTGATTATTTTCTGAAGAATACCTTCTGTAGAACTTCTCATTTCAATATATTCAAATTTATAAATTTATTTTAATTTAACACAGTTCAGTTCAGCCTTATTTTACTTGGAGTGTTATGTTTGTTTGTAATCCCAGTATCCATTAAAAAAATATCGGTTAAATAATCGGTTATCATGTACGGTCAAACCTAAATATCGGTATTGGTAAAATCCATTATTGGTCGACCTCTAGTTTGTATACATGTTATATTATGAATCAAGACATACAGTGCGTCTGGAAAATATTCAGTGCTCTTCACCTTTTCCACATTTTATTTTAATCTTATTCCAAAATTGGTTAAATAATTTTTCCTCAAAATTCTACAAACAAGATCCCATAATGACAACGTGAAATACATTTGTTTGAAATATTTGCAAATGTATTTTATACTGTGTAAAAAACAATGGTTCATAAGTATTCACAGCCTTTGCTCAATACTTTGTTAAAGCTCATTTGGCACCAATTACAGCCTCAAGTCTTTTTGAGTATGATGCTATAAGCTTGGCACATCTATTTTTGGGCAGTTTCTCTCATTCTTCTTCTCAAGCTCCTTCAGGTTGGATGGGAGCGTCGGTGCACAGCTATTTTCAGATCTCTCCAGAGATGCGCACTCAGGATCAAGTCTGGTCTCTGGCTGGGCCACTCAAGGACATACACAGAGTTGTCCCGTAGCCACTCCTTTGTTATCTGGCTGTGTGCTTAGGGTCGTTGTCCCGTTGGAAGAACCGTCGCCCCATTCTGAAGTCCAGAGCGCTCTGTTGCAGGTTTTCATCAAGGATGTGACATGCACTGTTAATTGTGTGGTCTTACATGTCCAATAACTGAATTTACCATAGGTGTACTCCAATCAAGTTAAACATATCAAGGACTACGTTTACATGCAGCTTTTTTTCACTTTTCGGGTTTCTGAAGCATTAGGGATAACCCGTTTACATGCGTGAGCAGAGAGTTTCTCCTGTATACATGGAATAATTTGCAATATCCCGATGTAAATGGCGACGCGCGGTTAGCGTCTGGACGTACGGACAACCTTAAGACGCAAAATGCGTCATTTCAGATTCTTCTTGAGTGGGGGTTCAATCTTCAACTGGGTGGCAGGACCTGCCACTGGCAGGTCACGTGACCTGTCAGTGGCTGACTGGCAGCTGCCAGTGGTTGTCTGTCCGTCTGCCTTTGGCAAGTTTCAGAAACCATTGATTTTTGACAGTTTTTTGTGTTCCTCCCTTTATAGCTCATTTATTATGAATCTGTTGATATGAATAATGTTCTTTATTTATGATTGCTATTTTGTGGACTGTTATTCTAATTTAACCAGTCAATTGGCCATGATCAGACTGACGCTCATCCAGTCAGCCACGGCTGAGACTGCGAGTCTAACGCGTCGCCTGACACTCTCGCTACAAGGAAATAAATTGTTTTCTTATTATGAATATAATGCCATGCCTTTGTTCTTGTGTATGATTGGTGTTTTGGGCGACGCGTTATATTCGCTGATCACCCGCGGCTGACTGGATGAGCGTCCAGCAAGCGTCTGTAAACTGCCAGTCTGATCACGGCCATTTGACTGGTTTAATTGGGATCCTACTACTAAATAACAATAATTTCAACAGATGCATAATAAATGAGCTATAAAGGGAGGAACACAAAAACTGTCAAAAATCAATGGTTTCTGAAACTTGCCAAAGGCAGACTGACAGACAACTAGCAGACACTGACAGGTCACGTGACCTGCCAGTGGCGGCTCCTGCCAGCCAGTTGAAGATTGAACCCCTACTGTTCTTCTTCCTGTATCCAAAGACAACAACAACAACAATCAGCAGTATGTGGATAATTAATAGTTCGGGGCAGATAGCGATCGTCTTTGTTTGCGCTTAGATGCTGGTAACGTTACTGAGCTCGTTCCAAAAGTATGCTGTGCTGTGTTCGCCATGTTTACTTCCGGAATACTGCACGCGGATTTTTGTATGCGCCGAGAAGTTTCTCTACTCAAAAGACCAAGATTCCTTGCGAATTGAACATGCGCAGAACACAAATCACTATGGGGATATGCCGATACGCGTTTACATGACCAAAAATTCAGGTTAGAAAGGGGGTACCCGATTGAGAAAGATAAGGCATATTTTATACAATTGTTAATACTGATGGAGAAGTTTCACATTCATAAAATGAAATGGTCTGACTCCAAACCTAATTTTTCTTGCTTTAAAAATTATGTTAAGCTTTATTGTTCTCTTTTGTGTAACTGCACAAGTAAAAAGGCAATTAGAGCTTATAGCATTGTAAGCAGATATGATCTATAATGTAGCACCCCTTTTCTGTTTGTAATACTGTATATTTTTTTTTTATCCTCTGGCACTGTTCTTTTTTTTTTCATTTTATTTACTTTGTTTTTTTGTTTCACTTTGAAGGATTATGTCTCATTGTATTGTTCTGTTCATGGCATTAATAATAAAAAAAGAAAAAAAAAAAAAAAGAAAGGGGGTACCCCAGGTATAATATCCCGGTTTTTAAAATCCGGGATATGAGCATTTTTCGGGTTTTTGCCGGTGTTTACATGGACGTTCGCGACCGGGTTATTGCTAATATCCCGGTTTTGAACGGGTTATTGGCTGCATCTAAACGCAGTGAAGGATGATCAATGGAAACAGGATGCACCCGAGCTGAATTTTGAGTTTTTGGCCAAAGGCTGTAAATACTAATGTAGGCTACATGTGATTTTATTTTCTTTCTTTTTTTTTTTTTTTTTTAATAAATTTGCAAAGATTTCAAACAATCTTCTTTCACGTTGTCTATTCGAAGAATTTTGAGGAAAATAATTAATTGAATACATTTTGGAATAAGCCTGTAACATAACAAAATGAGGACGAAGTGAAGCGCTGTGAATACTTCCCATATGCACTGTATTTTGTACCCACAAACATTAAAAAAAAAAACATAATTCACCGCATTTTCCTGTTGTATTATTTTGTTTGGCTTACAATTATGTATTGTTCATTTCTTTTGCAGGTTCGTCTGGTGTTGATACAGTCAGAGTGTTAGTGTCAGTGATGGAGGGAGATTCGGTCACTCTACACACTGGTGTTCAAACAAACCAGCAAGACAGAATTAGATGGTATTATAATGACATTCGCATCGCTCAAATCAATAGAGACCAGAGTAAGATCTGTACAGATGTTCAGTGTAATGAAGATACTGAGAGATTCAGAGACAGACTGAAGCTGGATCATCAGACTGGATCTCTGACCATCATGAACATCACAAACACACACTCTGGAGAATATCAACTGCAGATCAGCAGCGGCAGCAGCGACAGTGACAACACCTTCAATGTTATTTTATATGGTGAGTCATTATGTTTAAAAGCAAATTATATACATCAACGTGTTTTGGGATATTTTTGCTGACGTTCAGAGGTGTTTAGATTTAAATATAAATGTACTATGCAGGTTGCAAAGATATCCCATGAAGTATAATTTCATTAAAATAGTACTACATCAGTATTATATAGTTTTATTATTTCTATCTAAATTATAATGTCTTGATGCCATTTTAATTTGTTATTTTAAAAAGGCACTGCAAGATGACACACCATTAGTCATGTGTGGACATTATTGGAGGAAATCCCTATTGTAATACAAGCTTCACTGACTTAATCATCATCATCTTGCTTCTTCTGACTCTGATCTGTACTCGTAGTTTTTGCATTGCATACTTTTTTACTCTTAAAGGGTTAGTTCACCCAAAAATGAAAATTCTGTCAGTATTTACTCACCCTCATGTTGTTCCAAACTTCTATGTGGTTATTTGTTCTGCTGAACACAAAGGAAGATATTTGGAAGAATGTTTTAATCAAACAGATCTCATTCCCCATTGACTACCATAGTATGTATTTTTCCTTCTATGGTAGTCAATGGGGATTGAGATCTGTTTGATTAAAACATTCTTCCAAATATCTTCCTTTGTGTTCAGCAGAACAAATAAACACATAGAGGTTTGTAAAGGGTGAGTGTGAGTAAATACTGACAGAATTTTCATTTTAAACTAACCCTTTAATGAGTTTTTGGTTACCAAACCCCACCTCTTATGTCTATAAGCACCAAATGTGTATTTTCTGACTGAAAATGTTTTGTCGCTTTCATATCCACAGTTCAATCATGTTGTGTGTCTTTTCCCCCAAAAAAAGATCCTGCAATCATCTGTTGGTTTGTGTTTCAGGTGTTTCTGCTGCTGAACGAGATACGATTAAGAGAAAGACCGTGATGGAGGGAGAATCTGTCATTTTATACACTGGTGTAATAAGAAATCTGAATGATTCAGTTACGTGGTATTTTAATGAGATTCTCATCGCTGAAATCAGTGATGAACCCAGAAAAAACTGTACAGATGATCAGTGTGACGAGAGATTCAGAGACAGACTGGAGCTGGATCATCAGACTGGATCTCTGATCATCACACACACCAGAACTGAAGACTCTGGAGAATATAAACTACAGATCAACAACAGCAGATTCAGCATCTTTAAGAGCTTCAGTGTTTTTGTCACTGGTGAGTCTAATTTATCTCTACAGCATATATTCAACATATTAATTACTTTATAATTAAAGGAACACGCCACCGTTTTTTGAACTGTGGACGTGAGAGTGGGGCATATATCTGTGATATCTCTGCAATATCCACAGTCAATATCTGCCTAGGAAATTGCCTAGTCATAATCTGCATTGCTATTTGTACTCGTTGTAAATATGCAGGCCTCAAGAAGTAATTCGCTTCTTTTTTTATTACTTTTACTCACAAAATGCTATCCGGCAACAAAGGATTCCATTCATTATGCTAAGCTAAGCTAGCGGTGGCGGTGCCAGACTAAGACAATGCATGCACTGGGACAAAAATGCGTTTGCCCATAGATTTGCGTACCTGGAACCTAATTTATTTGGGGCGCCCGTTCATCGCCCAAGCGTCTCTCGTCGACACTTAATAACCTTTATACTCTAGCTTCTGCATCTCCTGAGTTGCCTAAACTCTAACTTACTCCCCTCAACTGATCTGCTGCGCAGCAGTAATATCAGACAGACTCCAGCAAATGTCCTTTAAATGCTTTTAAAGGAGAATTCTGGTCAATTTTAACATTGAGCAAATTTTTTTGTTCATTTGGAGTGCTGTCAGTACAGACATACATGACAAAAATCGGTGTTGCCAACATGTTATCCTCTTTTTAAAATTCGCACACTGTTGACTTGGGGCAAGTTCTAAACCTGCTTTTTTTAGCCTCTTAACATCCTTGATTTGTCATTATAAGTACTTCCTGTTTTCGGTCGAAGTCCACAGTCGATTATCGAGTTCACGCGTAATTGCTTAGGCTACGTCCACATTAATCCGGATAGATTTGAAAACGGGGTTTTCGTTTAAAAACGCTCTCCGTCCACACTAGCGTTTTCAGGCATTTTCCGACGTTTCAGTGTGGATGAGAAACTTCTAAATTCACTTTACTGCGCATGCGTGAAACTTCACAAAAGCTCACTGAGAAGATACAGACGAGAAAAAATAAATAATAATGTTATCGCACAATAACAGGATAATTTTATTTAGCAAAATATCTCACCATCACGGATGCGTCCAGGTCGCATTCAGTCACCATATGTTTGGTCTAAAACGCAAGGACAGCAGGTCTGTTTTGCCGCAGGACAGCAAATGTGAGTAGATCTGTTATCTTTGCAGTACTGTGCTATGAAGAATAGCACATATTAAGTAACATAGAAAGTAACATATTTTAGCAACAGTGTAAAAATGAATAAAATAACAGGCACAATACCGATAAACATGAATATCTATTGGTACTACGTGGATCACATGACTAAACTTACGTCATCGTTTTGAAATACCTCCGGTTTCACTGTCCACACTACAACGCGAAAACGGCGTTTTCAAATTTATCCACTTTGGAAAGCGTTTTCCAAACGATACATTTTTGTTGACTTAAAACGCCGTCTCAGTGTGGACGGAAGGCCAAAACGTAGAGAAAAATATATGTTTTCAAACGAAAACGTATTAGTGTGGACATGGCCTTAGTTATCAATTTGAACTCGACAATCGACTACTGTGGACTTCGACCGAAAACAGGAAGTAAATAGCTGGCTGAATTAACATCATTTTTATTCATATCTTTCACATCTACAGCAGTCAGGTTGACCGTCGTCACTCTTAATAACACCACTCACACACTCGTAATGACAAATCAAGGATGTTAAGAGGCTAAAAGCAGGTTTAGAACTTGCCCCATTGAAGTCAACAGGGGACAACAAGTCAAAAAAGAGGATAACACGGTGTAGGACACACCGATTTTTGTCTTTTTTGTCTCTACTGACAGAAATGTACAAAAAATAAGCTCAATGTTGAAATTGACCGGAGTTAATTACAGCCAGGAGAGTTCAAGCATTTTCTCAGAGAATCTCCCTAGAAGAAGCAAAGCCGGTGGATCTCTGACAAATCCAATTGAGAATCCCACCAGTAAACACGGATACAACAGTTTTCATAGAATAGACATGACACATTACCACGAGTTTTCAAACCCAGTCATCTCAAAAATAAAATCATCATGACTAACATGTCACGCTCAATCATCACTTGTCAAAGCAAATCCCCCCTTTCATTACTCTCTGTTAGTAACACCAGCAAAATATCATGTATCATCAAACACATTGTGAGGGGTTAATATTTTAATCAATCATTGCACAATATAACGGTTAGTCCAATTTCAAAGTTCCTTTAACCAAAGTTATATTAAGTCAAAAGTTCACGAGGTTCGATTTCGTTTGATGGCTACATCCTAGAGAAACGGGAAGTAAGATTGATTTAGATTTATAGTTAGAATCAGGAATGGAAGTTTTAGTCATCTTCAGACATAGAAGGAATGGAAGTGTCAACTTATCACAAGATGTTAGTCTAATTCATATCTTTATGGTTAGTTGACATAATCTTTATCTATTAAAAAAATCCACCACCTATCTAAATGTAGGGGAGATGGTGAACAACCCCTGTTTCAAATAACGCTGGTGTGTTCGTTTAATGAAAACATGCACTGTAGTGTACTATTTACAAACCGTTTGATTGTCTGTTTTAAATCCGATTTAAATCCTGTGCAGCCCTCAGCCTCACGCGTCAAAGCAAACACTACAAGGCCTCTAGAGGCCGCTCTCGCACTGTATAATGACAACGGGTCCTTCTCAGCCACTCCTGCAATGGATGCAACCCAGAATCGGTATGGAGTTTTGTCGATAACAAAGTTTTTCACCAATCGGTTATCAGTGCCGATTCTTCCAAGTAGGGTTTCCTGCATCCTGCGGTGGACATCCAACCCCGCCCACATCCAAGTGTGATGTCAGAATCCAATCCCATGTCAAATAGGTTTTTGGTGGGTTTCAGTATGTAGGTTCTAGATTAAAAGGGTTTTTTAGCCGTTATGTTACAGTGATGGGTAGGTTTAGGGATCAGTGTTTGGTTTAGGCAATCAGTACTGTGATTGACATGACCTATGGACATGGGTGTGGCTTCTGACATCACCCTTGGATGTGGGCAGCGAGATGCTTCTCGATTATTCGGCAAAACATATCAATCCTTAGACCTCTAAAAGAGACTGGAAATTAAGTTTAATGTTGCATTATGAATTTTACATTTCTGAAGTGTATTATATAAGAATAAGAACAACACAATATCAGTCAGTTTTCCTGTGAACATTGTTTCGTGTTGAGCTCACTGATGCTGTTTTAGCTGATGTTGTTATAAAACACCATTAATCAACCAGCTATTTATCAAATAAATCAATATCATACGTCATTCTACTGAAACGATGAGTCGATCTGTGTGTGTTCAGCTGTTCCAGATCCAGGTTTATCTTCAGCTGCTGTAGGAGGAATATGTGCTGCTGTTATTCTGCTCGTGGCTGCGGCTGCTGCTGCTGGGATTTACTGTTTCAACTGGAAATCGAGGAAAAGGAAAGCAAGGCTAAAAGGCAAGTATTACATATAGCTGATTGTACAAAATGTAGTTAATTTAAAAGTTTCATTGTACAAAAGGAATCTTGGAAAATATGGAAAAGTATGTCTTTTTATTCAAATTGACCAACGTAAGAGTTTGTTGTTGTTCAAACAGGAAACAGGACACCGCGAGATGATCATGATCAGGTGATATACTGTCTCCAAAACACTGTGAATTTACTACAGATTCAGATCTGTGAGACCTGTAATGCCCTAATGACGTGATTTTGAACAAAATCAGACCAAAACAAAGTTCATTTCGGAGGAAGCAGCTCTCAAAGTAAACTTTCCGTCTTCTCCGTGGGGATTACTTTATAAGTAAGTAGGTATGGCTCAGCCTTCTTTACATTGGAGATATCCGCTTATATTTCTTCAGTTCGGTCCGTCAAGCTCAGACGTTTGCAAAATACAACATGAACAGAGCTTTAAAATATAATTCTAATCAGAAGAGACACTGATACTGTTTTTCATGTTTCATACCGTAAAGCTGCTGATTTAAAACAATACATTTGTGTGAAATTGAATTTCTATATAGACATGACGTGAGTTTACTGGAGTGCAGATCAGATATGATCAGATCTTTCTTAACTGCTGTTTTCTCAACGCTGTCGACAGGAACATCTTCAAGTGTAACGAGTCATTTTTGAGAGGCCTTATGTGGTTTATGTCTGTGTGTGTGGGGGGTTTTATTCAGAATTTATCACATAGAAACACCAATAATGGAGCTTATCTTGAGCTGTTTTACTTCAGAATGAAGAATTATGTGTCTTTACATTCACAAACATCAAAGAGAAAAACACATTTTTTGTTTGTGTAACTGTATTATCAGTTTTGATAATTTGTTTAAACTTCTGTGAATCCATTTCTTTCTTTCAGGAGAATGATGTTACAGAAGCACTGCCCCTCAATCAGAGGACTCAGACCCCACTGATGGATGATGGTAATGAGACTGAGACTCCACAGTTGGATGATGATAATGGGACGTCCCATAATGAGACTGAGACTCAACAGGTGAATGATGATGAAGAGATTGAGACTCAAGTTGATAATGAGCAGTCTTCTAGTGAGACTTGAGACTAATGGGATTTCTCAGTAACATTAGTTATTATTTTACGCTCATGGAGAAATGGTGTCGTGATACTAAAATATCAGTAGTCGGTACCAATAATGGTGACTTGAAGTCAAAGCAAAGCAAGCCATCACCAACAGAGTGCTTGTGGGATTTCCAGTGTGTAACTGGTGGGAGTATTAGAGGCTGCTAAAGGATCCAGACAGAAACAGGATTATCACTCGTCCTTCACAGAATTGCGGTTCCTTCAATCATTAGCAGCAGAATATACACTGTAAGACCCAATAACACACTGATCTGTTTAATCAGATTCATATGTCATACTTGGTGTGCTCTTCACCGATCATGTGCAGAAATGAGAACGGGAATATGTTAGTTACTGTGACCTTATTAAGATGCTTGGTAACCTACAAACTGGTGTTTTAAAAACATTCACTGTCAAAACTAATGCTTTCAGTTTTGGTTTGTTTGTTGGTGGTTTAAAGAAAGGTTAAAAGTCCAAATCCTGCAAGGATTGATCCATGAAATATAAGCATTGTGTCCTTGATCAAATGCCGAATCTCAGGAAATGAACCTGTAAAACTCCATTGAAAGACTCTGGATTGATGCTGCTACAAAAGCACAAATATTCCTAACTGTTACTGGCTGCTATGCTGCTGCTTAATGGAATTTTTAAGCGCATTTCATAAATGTGTGTGTACTGATAAAATGATATTCATTTTGTGTGATAAATTTCTTTTCAATGTTTAAATTATTTATTAAAATTAACTATTTAAATTATTTATTAAAATGTAAATAAACGCGATGAATGCTATTTAAACGTGTTTGTTGTGAAATGATTTGAGTTGATCAGAAGTAACTAAGCTAACAAGGAACCATTTGTAGATCATGAAGTGTGCAAATTTTAGTTTAACAAGGATTAGACTTTCACCTTTAACCTAACTAACTAGCTGTTTAACTCGGTCCTTACCAATAACAACACACTAATAATCTACTAATTTTTTTAAATTTTTTTCTAATCAAGCTTTTTAATTTTTGTTCTCATATTAGATGGTGAAGGCTGTTACAGAAATGGGTACTAGATGGCGCTCTTGTAAAGCATAGAGTCTACTCTAAAGAAAATCCAGATGCTAAGTCCCGCCCCTCCGCTTCCGGCTCATGGGACCTTATTTCGGAAAAAATATGAATGGTAGTCAATGGCGAGAGACAAATTATCTTTTTAATCCGTCTGAACTGTGACCTCAATTACACATATGATGTTTTTCAATTTAAAAGATAATTCTGAAAGTCAAAAACGTCGCAGTTTGTCATACAACAGAAGAGTAACATTTAGTTTTATGTGAAAATCGCTCTATGAACTACATCTCCCGGGAAGAGAAACGAGATCCGCTGCGTAGGACGGCGTAACGTTACGATTATAACGTAAGACTGTAGAAACACTGACAGACAGCCTCAGTAAAGTTAGCTTCATTCATTGGGAGAAAATGTGTGCCTTTGGGGTTTGTAGTCTTTGTAATTACGTATTTTCACAGTCTTATAGGCTACCTCAACGGTTTTACATCAAACTGCGACTTTCTTTACTTTAAAATGTATCTTTTAAATTGACAAACATGTGTAATTCAGGGCACAATTCAAACGAGAAATATTTGTTGTCTCTCGCTGGAATTAAAGACTTTATTACAAGCTTACTGTTTTGAATCAAGCTAAGGCAAGCAGATAGTTTTGAACACTGGCTGGTTATGTATTTTATTTTTTTTATTTCCTTTGGATATAAAGTGGCATCTTTTTTTTTTTTTTTTTTAAAAACTTAATTTAAATATATAACAAATAATAATAATAAATCTAAATAGAATTCTGAGTGAAGAAGCGGATTCACGCTCCTCAATAAACAGTCCAGAGGGTGGATGAGCAGTGGCCTAAGGCAAAGTTTTCTGGAACACAAAAGAAGATATTTTGAGAAATGTTTTTGTCAAAAAGGGTCAATGAAGCTCAGCTAGTAAAATAGAGGCCATCTGTAAAGCGGTTTTGAAACTGTAAGTACATGTGAAAAGTTCTTTTTAGACAAACAAACATGACTTGACTTGACAATCATTTTAATTACTACATTCTTTGTAGAACCGTTTGCCCCATAGGCCAAATGGAGATGATCCAAACTGAACTGGAGTTTCCCTAAAAGCATTGTTAGACAATAGTCGCAAGTTCCGTCATTATCAGCAGTTTAACAAGTTTGTGTTTCCCAAAACCATCAAAGTTTTGGCAAGCTGACATTCAGTAAAATCTATATCTTTTATTAGCGTTTACTAAACCAGCGACTGGCCAGTCACTGGGGAAGAACGATCTGGTCATTCACTTTCTTAAGGGATCCAAGAGGCTGAATCCTCCCAGACATCCTTCAGTTCCCATGTGGGACCTTTCTATGGTTTTGGAAGACATTAAAGGTTCCCCGTTTGAGGCAATCCATTTATCAGACATGAAACATTTGTCGTTCAAGACAGTGTTTCTTATGGCTTTTGCTTCAAACCCATAGGGGAGTTACAAGAGCTCCCAGTAGCATGTAATTTGCTGTGTATGGAAGATATTACGCAGTAACGTTACTCGTTCCCTCTTTTAGAGAGAACCGAGGTTACGTAAATAACCGAGTACGTTTTTCCTTTTATCTCGCCCCCAAACGTGATGAGCCAATCACAGTAGGCCTATGCATAGCTAACCCAATACACTCAGACCACAACACTAACTAAACGTGGATAAAGTAAACAAAGATGTCTACATTGTTCTAAGGTAAGTCAACAACGTATTTGAACATTATCTTTAACATCTCTAACGTAACGTTAGCCTAACATTAAAACATTTTAACATTAGCTGCATTTTACGTCATGTCACTTAGCTTCACGTATCTGTAAATAACCGAGATAAAAAAATGTTAGCAATGTTGTGCTGAATGATTCATGTAAATACTGTAGCAACTAACGGAGAGGTAAAGATGGTAAAAAGTGTTGTCCTGGAAACATGTGCAACTTAGACCTGTACATATTTAATTTGATCATGAACCATTAATTACATATTGAAGCGCAACATTTTAGACACCTTTCTACCAAAACAACTGGGGAACCTTGTGTTGTTGTTTTTTAGCAAAACATGTTGCCAGTTTTCACTCCTCCTCAACATAACCAAATGTTCAAACTATTTACATACCATGTCAATAGACAAGAGGTCAGGATGTTCAAAAGGTCATTGATTTGTGCTGATTTAGTGTAATAACTTCTAATAAAATGCTATATTTTTTGTTTAAGCATTTTGTCAATAGAGGGCCCCCCCATCCTCACCAAACAAGGACTGAATCTACTATAGGACAGAGGTGTCGTCCAGCTCCAAAAAAGAGGTACCTCAAACATGTGTACATGAACACACACAGGTTCAAGTCACACTTGATCATTGATGATATAATATCAAGCTGAAGGCAAAAATCAGAAAAAGAATCTGCACACTGTTAAAGAAAATCCCAGCAGCTTTAATAGCAGAAAACCACCAGACTCGCCATTGACTACTATTCAATATTTTTCCGAAATAAGGTCCCATGGTGGTCGACCGGAAGGGGGCGGGACTTAGGCTCTCTATTAGTAGAAGTTACAAAGTTACTTATAGTCAAATGCAGTGTTACAGATGTTAGAAAGTCGATCTTCTCTACTGAGAGTTAGCTGACATGTTGCAAAATAACAGTAAAACGTTTAAAGTGCACTAATGAGATCGTGTAACCAAAAATAATGTCAATCAAGTGTATTGATAGAAAGGTGTCAAACATCTCCTAAATGTTGTCAGATGGGTTTGAGTGCATCAACAAAGACACTTAAAGTGTCTTTAAGTCCAGGTTTAATGCTGGACATTTGCTGGAATCATGATATATTCCCTCACCTACGAGTGAAACGTTTCCCTTGCTGTCCCAGATCATTTACAGCTAAGCTATGATTAGCATGGTTGCTAATGCTAAATGCCTACACTGTCATCTTGACTTCCAGGATGAAGGATTTCAAAAAAGAGCCTCTTTGTTTCTGCAGTTCTTGGTCTCTTATAAGTCGTCATCTTTCGCAATTATGTCCATTAAGTTTTAGTCGTGTTGACCATTCGTTTCACAATGTAGACTAATTGAAGTTGCTCTAAGGGTATGCTAACACGACAATTATGGATAATGATATGATTAAAATGGAAATGTTTTTGGGTGTTCTTCGTACAAACAAGACCATTGTCAAAATATTCACACAGATCCATGAAAACGGCCTTAAACTCTGAGTCTGTATTCTGCCGCCAGGCCATCAGATGGCGATAAAACATATGAACTTTTTTTACTTTTTATTTTTTTATAAAACGAACTGAACACGTAATATGTATATGCATGACGTCTTCGTCTTCAGAGATTCACATTTTTGTTGTTTACATGGAGACCGCTTTCAAAAACGTGCACTTAGTTTGAAACCTGTTTTCAAAAATTTTATTTTTCGGGCACCCAAAAAAACATTGTCATGTAAATGAATGGCCAAAACGCAAACGTTTTTTGGTTAAAAACGGTGTTGTCCCAGATAGCACGTACGTCTGCAAAATGTATGTTAAAGATCACTTCATCTGGAAAGCATCTGCTGTTTACTAACACATGATAGACATCAGTTTAACATACATTCTAAATCATTACATCTTAAAGACATCTTCTAAACGTCTATTTGACATCTGGCAGGAAATGTCCAATAGACGTATTGCAGATGAGCAAACACTCTTAAAAATGCGTCTACCAGATGTAAACACACATCAAATAGACGTCTCTGTGATGTACGTGTGCTATCAGGGATCCCTGATAGCACGATGTCTATTTGTTTACATCTGGAAGATGTATTTTTTTTAGGGTGTTAGCTCATCTGCAATACGTCTATACGACATTTCCTGTCAGATGTCAAATAGACGTTTAGAAGATGTCTTTAAGATGTAATGATTTTATTTAATGTATGTTAAACTGATGTCTATCAGATGTTAGTAAACAGCAGATGCTTTCCAGATGAAGTGGTCTTTAACAGAAAACTTGCAGACGTACAGTACGACGTAAGCTTGTAGACCTGGTTTTTATCATAAAATTATGTAAAATGATGGCTAAAATCAATCAGCATATTACAGTAGTTACTAACCTAAACCATCATCCCTTTTAATGAAAGGCGGCCATACTTGCAAGGCGGCGTGTGGTGGAATGACACATTTTTGTACTTGTTTAAATGCCTGTCCGCAATGAAGGCAGGTCAAGAGACGTGGATGGTGCTCTGTAGAGCGATGTGGTGTCGTGTGATAAAGTAGGTCGGTGAGGGGTCTTGGGGTCTATATGTGCCTGGTGTGTGTTATCTGCCTGCACGTCGTCAGTTTCCTCTCTGCTCCGAGAGGTTTTTTTTTAGTGTGTGAGAAAATGGACTTGTGGCATGAGAAGCCACAATTGCACGAGTCTCACGCTGAATGCAAGAGTTGAGGGCTCTGGTGGAGTGAGTGACTGTGCAAATATGAAAAACAAGTAATCAGAGCTGTCTTTTTACAGAGAGCCAAAAGCTACAGAAAATATAAGCAAAATTGATAGACGCAATTCAAATGAATAACTGGAACACATGCCTGAAATCGCCTTGCTTAAATGGCCTAAACTTTTTAGTATTGGTTTGGTTGATTATAATAATTACTAACTCCATATATTTATGCTTTGGAAGTCTGATTTATCATGGTCATTTAAAAAAAAAAAATCTATCAATAATACCAACTTCATCATCAATGCAACATTACATTTTATTTGA